ATTTGGAATATTGTGTTCAGTCTTGGGCTCCTTACCTTAGGAAGGACATTGAATTGTTAGAAAGAGTTCAGAGAAGGGTTACTAAAATGATGCCTGGGATGGAGGGGTTGTTATACGAGGAGAGGCTGAAATCTCTCAAATTGTTTTCTCTTGAAAAAAAGAAGAGTTAGGAGGGATCTGACTAAGGTGTTTAAGATTGTAAAGGGAATTGATAGTGTTGATGTACCATCTTTTTTTCATATTTAACAATGAGAATAGTAGGACTAGGGAACACAAATATACATTTTGGCAAGGTTGGAGTCATCTTCAGCTAAGACAGTTTCATTTTTCTAACAGGGTGGTTGGACTTTGGAATGGATTGCCTTCAGATGTTGTAGAGGCAGTAAATGTAAGTGAGTTTAAGAAAAACCTTGATAAGTATATGAATGAAAAGGGCTAGGTTAAAAAAAAATTTAATCATTTTAATTTAGTTTAGAGGATGGAACAGCCAAGATGGACTAATAGGTCCCATGTTGTCCCAAAATATTATGTTATGTCATGTTATGCTTGTAACATAATATAATATAATATTTTGGGACAACATGGGACCTATTGGTCCATCTTGACTGTTCCAAAATATTATGTTATGTCATGTTATCCTTGTAAAAGTATTTGTTTTGATATTTTCTAGTAATATTTTCTTCAACTATCATGATAATTCTTTATTACTTCAAGATTAATAATAAGAACTTGAATATATTCAGACAAATAATCTGAGACAAAGGTAAAGTGCAGATAGTTGCTGATAGTTTTTTCATGTGTAAGTAATAATAATAAGTATTTAATAGTATGTGTTACATTGTGTTGTAAAATCTATCTAGTTTAAGTTAACTTGAATAGCATATAATATAATTAATTGTACATATACCTGTAATGTGATGTGCAAGGCTTTTGTTCTTCACATAAAAGATGTATGGCAGATATTCAACCATTTACTAGTCTTTGAAAAGTTTTGTTTGTTTGTTTGTAGTTTACCACAAAGCCGTACAATGGGCTATCTGTGATCTGCCCACCACGAGTAATGAAACTCGATGTCTAGCACTATAAGTCTGCAAACATATCACTGTGACACTGGGGAGCTTTTGGAAAAGTGCAGATGGAGTTATGACCTAAAAGATGATACCCTTGATAAAGTATGTGTTTTGTAGGATTAAGTTTGATATTTCAATTTGTTAAATTATGTATATACAAGTTGTAGAATTTACACAAACTGCTAATATTTTCAAAAGCCTTGTAAAAAAAGTGTCCACTTAAGTTGTGAGTGGTGTAGTTGTGTGTCTTTTTAATTATTACATTTTTGTCTTCTCTGAGGCTTAGTTTTGGTACTCTGGAAAACTTTAGCCAAATACATTTTCTAACCTATCTGTCCTTTGAGCGTTATATCTTCTTTTTCTGCCATTAACTTGTAATTGAGAAATAGCATCTCTTTGAATGTCTTTCCACCATTCCTTGTCCTGCACTTGTCACATTCATATTGACACTCTTAAATGTTGTTCTATATCATACCTCCATTTTTTTTCTTGGTCATCCTTCTTTTTCTTTTCTTGTCAATTGGCTACAATATTGTTTGCCTTCCCTCTCCATTTACTTCCTCTTGCTTGTGTGTTCTGACCATCTCCAACATTTTCCAACTTTGCAATCTATTTATGATTGTAAACCTTAAGTAATGAGAAAAACAGAAAGAGGAGTTTTATAGTTTTGAGGCCTGGTGTTTTAAAGGAAAGTCAAAATGAACTTGTGACTTTTGAAAATGTCATCTAATTATTTCTATAAATCTAACTACTTAGATATTTGAATATGTTTCAGAAATTCTACAAAAATGTAAAAAATAATATCAAATAGGTTTACTTTAAGCTAAAATTTATGACTTTATCACACATTCATTAATTGGTCAACCGTGAGAAACAGCTGGATCATAGAACAAACAATTGATATAGGGTATTTTATCATAGTCTCTAACTATTGGACTAGAATTCTATCTACAACAGGATATGGCTACTAACCAGGAAAGATTTTTGACTGAGAAATTTATATAACTAAATTGAATTCATCTATGTTTTTAGAAGATTATTGTTTTTCTATATACTAATGTGTTAACTATAACACTGCTGGAGCAGAAAACAACAACATAGATTCTTATATCCAAGGTTATTAAGCTTAAGTTATCTTTTGCTTAAATGTAGTTTGAATTTTAAATCATTTTTTAACCTTGGGATGCTAGTAATGAAAAGCAATGTCTAGTGTTTGATTCTTATTAAAATATGTTTACTTCCTACCTCAGAATGTGTAATTAAATCCTTAAAATCAAAATATAAAAACATAATGAAAAAGTGCTTCCAGTACCAGTTGTTTTTAATGTAGATGTCTAATAAAATATTATTATGAATAAACATACCAAAAATTTCATTCTAATCAGTGACATTTGGTAGTAGTTTTATATGCAAACGAATCTTGCTGATATTAGTTATTTTCTTTCCACAAAAATAAAGAAGTTCTTCATTTCAAGAGCTGGTATATTTTTATATTTAGTTTTAATTTCAAAACTATGAGACATTAAAAGGCCACTGTTAAAATTTCACAAATAAAGATGCACATATTAGCACCTAAACAAAGATTTGTTGAAGCTAAAGATTGGGCTATCAAATTTTTGAGTAGTAGCAATAATGACAAAAAAATGAGTAAATAATTTAAGTGCTATTTTTTAACTGATGGCAGTCCAGTAAAAAGATCTCAACAAAGAAGTTTCATGATGTGAAAATATGGCATGGATTTTAAAAGAAAATTAAGTAAAACTGGACATACAGTTAGATATCTGTTTAATAACTTTTAAATTGAACAATATAAATTAACAGATAAATAAATCAATAGTCCTATTTTTCAGATAAGTTTAGTCATAATTTCATGTATTCATGGACAAGATTTCTGCTGACAAAAACATCTATAGACATGCATTCTGCAGATTAATACTATATTGAATCCATGTATCATTTAAAAAAGTCTAGCTAATTACAGAAAGGGATATTGTCATATACAATCCAGAAACTGAACTTTATTGAATGCCTGAATTATTATTGTTATAGTCCTGCCCCTTTCTTCATATTTTGACTCAACACTTTAATCAGAACATTATCATGTTGGCTACAATAACTGTCTCATTTAAGCTTGAAGAAAAAACAATCTGGTGTTTTGTTTTCAAACCAAAACAGGCATACTAGTGGCTTAACACAAGATCAGTCTTTACATCAGGAGTTTTGTGTTTCTACACCAAAATGTATGCCAGAGCAGGTCCGGCAGACTGAGCAGAAGCTGGAACAACATTTTGTCACAGTAACTTTAGAACTTTTTAAACTTTAACTTGCACTTCAAAAATTGTTTCTAGGTAAATAGACTTATAGTAGTATGTATGAATCAGTATAACAATGCATAATATAATGCATGTGTAATCTGCAAGGGTACATGCTTGTTCTTGTTTATAGCTGTGGTGAGTATAAGTGTCAGTGCGCACCTATTTTTGTGAATCATAAAGAACATGCTTGCGAATGATTAATACTTTCAATAAATTATAATAAAATTAGCACATAATTCAATCTCAGAGCACCTATAGTTGTTAATTTTCTTGAGGGGCATCCCCCTAGACCCCTCCCTAGCACTGCCATGCTTTCACTCTATTCTGAGTTGCCTGACCAATCCAAAATTGCTTCCTCCATCCCTGATATACTAGTCCTTCCATAACCATAAGACACAATCGTCTGTATTCCATTCAGTATGAGGTAATATAATCAACTTTTTGGCCCACATCTTGTAAATGTATATCTTTCTGATATGTCTTCATATTTTTAAATTGCGAAAGGTTTCACAGTTTTTGTTTAAATCAAGTTTTTTAATGTAACATTGGTAGCTTACTTGGCTCGAACTATATTGAATTTCTATACAATGGTTATTTTTTTCCCATTTGAGTGACTCTAAGGTGCTCAAGATCTCCCAAACTATTAGCATCTTATTTGATATTATTTGTTGAATTTATTATTTCGTAGACCTCTAGAAATTTTGTTCCTCCATAACACCATGTATTTTTATATTTCTTTATTATATGAAATGTTGTTTTTTCTTCTCTATTCTTTTTTGATTATTGTTGTTATATCTCTGGGTGAAAAGTATTGAATCTTGTCCTTTTATTTTACATAGTGCCTTTCTCAGTTTTTCCATTCTTTAGATATCAGTTGTAGAAAACACTGGTGAAGAGTAAAATTAGTGGTAAATTAAGTCAGAGGAACATTTTCAAATTAAATCACCATCAGATCATTAAATAGTGGTCTAACAACGTCAAAAAATGTGATTTGCTACCATTCCTAGCCTTGTTTTATTTTTCTTTCTTTGAAATAACAAAAATGTATTCTTGTACTTCAAAAAAGGATTTACTTTTGCTTATATCTTAGCTCGAGCTTGTAAGTTTTGCAGATTTCATTATCAATATCTGGGAAATATGTCTTATTTTGACATATGGGTGCACTTGGAATCTGAAGTATTGATGCTTTTATATTTGTTTTGACGAAGACAGTTCTTAAAAGATTCAGATAGGTTTTGTCCATTACCTCAAATGAAAAATTGGAGATTACTTAAAGGTACTTAGGATTGACATTTTTGGTATTTTGTGTTTCCTGCAATTAGAATATGATTTTTAGTTTTGTTTTAAATACATAGCTTCCTCTGATTATAACTTAATATTAAATTTGTACTTGCTCTGATCTTTTCTTAGCTTGCATGTCTACCAGTATGAAAGATCAGATTCAGAAGATCAATAACCATTAAACAATGCCGACCAAAATACACACATATATATATATATATATATATGGGTTACCTGTTCATGTTGATGGTAGTGAAAAAAAATGTTTTAATTTAAAATTCTACAACAGAAAAGTGATCAATTTATTTTGAAACAAATTCATTGTCCCATGTAAACAGTTGTCTGTTGTTCTGAAATTGTGCACCACAAAACATTTGTAAAAACCTTCAATTGCTTCATAAAAACATTACTAACAGACAGACTAGAACTTTTTTTTTTTCAACTTTTCGACCTCTAAAGCTAACATAACATTTTGGGATAACATAGGAACTATTGGTCCATCTCAGCTGTTTCATCCTCTAAGCTAAATTAAAATGATTAAAAAAATAAATAAATCTTAAAGCCAGCCCTTATCATTCGTACACTTATCAAGCTTTTTCTTAAACTTACTTACATTTACTGCCTCTACAACATTTGAAGGCAACCCATTCCAAAGGCCAACCACCCTATTAGAAAAATTAAACTGTCTTGACTGAAGATGAATCCTATCTTGCCAAAATATATATATATATATTTGTGTCCCTTAGTCCTACTATTCTTACTGTTAAATATGAAAAAAGATGATGCATCAACACTATCAATTAACTCAATAAGATCCCCCCCTAACTCTCCTTTTCCAAGAGAAAACAGTTTGAGCTGTTTCAGCCTCTACTCTTATGACAACCCATCCATCCCACGCACCATTCTAGTAACCCTTCTCTGAACCCTTTCCAACAATTCAATGTCCTTCTTAAAGTAAGGAGCCCAAGACTGATCACAATATTCCAAATGTGGCCTAACCAGTGACCTGTACAATGAAATTATAACCTCTTTAGACTTGTATTCGATATTTCTGTAGATACAACCTAAAATCCTATTTGCCCTGCTACTAGCTACAGCACATTGCTTGGATGGCTTTAGAGATTAATCGACTATAACACCAAGATCCCTTTCCTTCATAATTCTGTTAAGGTTATTCCCATCCAAATTATACTTATCATTCCAATTATGATAATCCACATGCATTATCTTGCACTTATTATAATTAATATCCATCTGCCATTTACTTGCCCAACTCACTAAATAATCTAAATCCTTTTGTAAAGCAGCAGCATCCTCTTCACAGCTAGCAACACCCAAGACCTTAATGTTATCTGCAAATTTTAGTAATTCATTGACTATTCTTTCATCTGTTACTGATGTAAATCAAAAAGAGCAATGGTCCTAAGACTGAGCTCCGAGGTACCACACTTGTGACATTAATCCAGTTTGACTGAACACCTTTTGTAACAACCCTCTGCTTTCTTCCATCTTGCCACTCTTCTATCCAATTTGCTAACTTATCTCCCACACCTATAGAGCTAATTTTGTTTACAAGTCTTTTATGTGGCAACTTGTCAAATGCTTTCTGAAAATCCAGATATGTCAAATCTACACCCTTACCCTCATTTACATAAGCAGTAATCTTTTCAAAGAATGTTAAAAGATTTGTAAAGCAAGATTTTCCCTTAGTGAAAC